CTAATCAAGAATATCTTGTTATATTCATCTTAACCATAAGATATTAGCATTATTAAGATTAACAATTCACCCTCTTCATTTTACAAGCAACACATTGTTTTCCATCATAGGAATGAGCAAGGATTATGTGTTTCTCACTTTGATTTTTCCCCAACTAGTTTGCCTTTTGAACCTAGATCATGAGATCTTCAATTAGCTAGGTTAGGTTTCTGTCAAGTTATAACTCATTGAATTGGCTTTAAATTCATTCCCCTCGATGTAAATATCACTTGATCCTTTGGTAGCCTTTAGTCAAATGATCGGCATTGTTCTCCTTAGATTTAAAGTTGCCATTGGAAATTGTTCCATTCTTGAATAATTATCTAATGGTTCTATGTCGTTACCTTATATGTCTCGACTTCCCATTATACTCAGCATTTTTGGCTCGACCTTGTGCAACCATGTTGTCACAATGTATACATATTACAGTCATAGGCTTTGAGAATTGGCAACATTGATAGGGAATAAACTTTTTGAGATGTAGCTATACTAAAGTAAGTAGTTGGCCTAACCTTTGGTTACCCTAACCAAGTTTTTCTTTCTCACTCCTTATGTTATATACTGAAAATGTTTAAGCCATTCAACTTCGTCAACAGCTGCATCTAAGGTTGTAAACACTGATTCCATTGTTGAACGTGCTATACACATTTTCTTAGACGATTTCCATGACACTGCTGCTCCACTAAGTGTAAATACATATCCACTTGTGGACTTATTGTCTATGCTTCATAAAATCCAATTTGCATCACTGTATCCTTCTAATACTGGGGGATATTGCGTGTAATCCAAACCATAGTTTATTGTATGCTTTAAGTATTTTAATACCCTTATTAATTAAAGCATTCCAATGATCTATTCCAGGATTACTTGAATACCTACTTAATCTCTTAATGAATAAGCGATATCAGGTCTTGTACAATTCATATCGTACATCAAGCAACCTATAACTTGTGTATACTCCAATTGATATATGTTATCTTCTTCATTCTTAGTAAGTTTATTAATTTGATCAAATGGAGTTACTGCAGGTTTACAATCATAATGTCCAAACCTCTTCAAAACCTTTTCTACATAATAGGATTGAGTTAGAACATATCCATCTGAATTTCTTAGAATTCGAACTCCAATAATCACATCATCTATTCCAATATCTTTCATATCAAAACCATAATTTAGCATTTTCTTTGTGGAGTTAATCACATCTTTGTTTGTTTGCAGTATCCAATTGGTTTATTACCCGGAGGCAATTAACCAATTCCTATGTATTTTTTTGCATGATAGATTCCATTTCACTTTGAATAGCTACTTTCCAATAAAGTGCTTCAAAAGATTCCAATGAAGCATTATAAGTTTGAGATTCTTCTTTGGTTAGATAAGTAAAAAAATCAAGACCAAAATCCTTTGCAAATTTTGCTCTTTTACTTTTTCGTGGTTCCAAATCTTGGTTTTCATTATTTCTTGTTGTATCATTATGTACTCTTTGATTAAAAGTATATGACCTATATTTCTAAGGAAAATTTTCCTCAAAGAACTTGGCTTCTGCAAATTCAAGTATTGTATTTATGTGATGTTTACAATTTCAAATTTATGAACCAAAAATCTATATGCTGCACTATTATTGGCTTGACATTTAAATAAACAATCCACGGTTTTAGGTCCAAGTTTTTGTCTCTTCGGAAGAGGTACTTGAACTTTAGCAAGACAACCCCCCACACCTTCAACATTTTATATGTAGGTAACTTTTCTTTCCAGATTTCAAAACGAAACTAATTAGTTTTCTCATGTGGAGAATTGTCTAACATGGAATTAATCATATCTTTCAAGGTCCGATTTTTACGTTCAGTAACTCCGTTTTGTTAAGGAGTATATGGTGCTGTCGTTTGATGTACAATTCCACGTGTTGAACAAAATTATGCAAAGTCATTAGATTCGGATTTACCACCTCTATTTGACCTTAAGACTTTTATTCTTTTGTCTAGTTGATTTTCAACTTCGGGTTTAAATGTTTTAAACATGTTTAAAGCTTCACTCGTACTATGTATCAAATAGACATAACAATACTTGCTGCAATCGTCAATGAAGTAAATAAAGTAATTTTTTCCTCCATGAGTTGGTGTGGACTTGAAATCACAAAGATCACTATGGATTAGACCAAGTACTTCATTGGATTTTTCCACCGATTTATATAAATGTCGAGCATATTTGGCTTATGTGCATATCTCACATTTAGATACTTCGTTCGTGAAACATTTGGGCAACAGGCCTAAATTAACCATTCTTTGAAGAGAACGAAAATTAACATGTCCTAATCTTGCATGCCATAAAGTAGAAGACTCAATCAAGTAAGCAAAAGAAGCACTAGGCTTATTATTATTATTAATAGCATCAGCAGAAAGTACATTCAGTTGAAGAGCCTCTCAGCCAAGTAGCCCTTTCCCACATACACCTCACCCTTGGTGAGTACAAACTTTTCAGGTTCAAACATTAACTTGAAACCTTTGTTGCTAAGAAGCGAACTAGAAATCAAATTCTTTCGAATATCAGGAACATGCAGAATATTGGTGAGTGAAAGCTCTTTCTCATAAGTGAGTTTGAGCGTCACTTTTCTTTTCCCTACAATGGCAGATGCAGTTGCATTTCTCATGTACAGATTTTCTCCACCATCAATCGATTGGTAAGAGACAAACATATTCTGATCAGCATAAACATGCCTTGTTGCTCATGTATCAACTCACCAGTCATTGGAATTGGTCAATAAAGTGACCCCAAATACAACACCAACAAACATGTCTTTTGCAATGTTTGCTTAATTGGAATTCTCAACAGACATTCTGATCCTTCTTGTGGCAACAATCCTTTGCCCTATAACATGTCTTTCCACAAACCCAACAACCTCATTTGACTTTCTTGAAGGTTTTTCCTTTCACATCAATACGTGCTTTCTTTGCAGCATCATTGCTTTTGTTTTTCTGATGAGGTTGTGCCTTGTGTGAGTCTCCTCTTTCCACAATATTAGCTTTTGCCTCCAGTAATGAGGCATCATACTTCTCATTCTTGCGATGATTCTCTTCCACACATAGTTTGAGAATTAGTTTATCCATACTCATGTCTTTAATTAGATGCTTCTGATAAATCTTGAAGTCATTTCAATTAGAATGCAGTTTCTTTATGATAGAGCCAACCACGAAGCCTTCTTTCAAACCCAGATCTAACTTAAGAACAATCACTTAGAGTGCTTCAACTTACTTGACAACGGACTTGGTATTACTCATCTTGTAATTCAGAACTTTTTTTATCACAAACTTCTTGGAACTAGCCACTTCAAACTTATATTTTTTGTTCAAAGACTCCCATAGTTCCCTAGCCGTCTTATATGATGAATAAATGTCATACAAGGAGTCATCCAAAGCATTTAGAATGTAGTTCCTGCACATAAATTCATTGTGAGTCCAAGCTTCTATAGCCTGCATAATTTCGGTAGGGATATCTCTCTTCTGGTGCTTTAGGGGCCTTAGAAGTAATGACATGACTCAAATTAAGAGTTGTCAAGTAAAACATCTTTTGTTGCCACCGTTTCAAATCAACTCCCTTGAATTTCTCAGGTTTCTCAACATGTTGCTTGACGACACCAACCTTTGGTTGATCCATATTTCTGTTTTAGATTGCTAGAACTAATCAAAAATAGATTATATAATATATATATATATATATATATATATATATATATATATATGAGAAGTATTATTGACATTCTAAAAATCTCATTCTACGCTCCTCACAAGTGTATTTTTCTTTCCTAATATAGAAAGTTTGGAGTGTTGAATGAGATTTTTGGAGAGCTAATAACAATTCCCTATATATATATAATAATTACATAGATTATATTGAAATATAATTACAGTATATAATCACACCACAATATGAATATAAACGAAGTTGTAAATAAATCACAACAATTATGACTAACTTGATTTCGGAAGATAGAGGCTTGTAGTAACAATCTCTTAAGATAGAAATACGCCTCCACACCAGTGCAGTAGTTTATAGACGTCTATCTTGGAGGATACAACTATTTAATTCAAGTTCTTGCACTCGAACTTGAATTCTTGGCGAATTGATATGTGTTTCTTAGTGAAAGAGTAAGAGGAGAGTTTTTTTATTGAATGAATTCGTTTAACCCTGCAGCCATATATGGAATGGCTTAATTTGAACATTTGCAACTGTTAAATGCAGTTACAACCCTTTGAAATCATTCTTAACTTAATACTTAAGTCATCTGCTCGAGCCCAAGAGCCCATATTAATATATACCCAATACAAAGCTCAAGCCTAAGGCCATAAGGTCTATGGGCAGCCTTAAGCCATTTTGATTATAAGTGAGGAGCCCTCATTTATAAAGCCTTATTAACTTAAGGTTTTGGTCGATGTGGGGCTTGCCATCCCACATTAATTCCCAATAGTAGATAACTTATCCCTTATAAGAAGTTAAATAATGAAGATCCACGTTGAGACATGTTTGCCAAACCACAAGAGACCAGTCAATAGGACCTTTAACATTGATAATACGGGGCAACATCTCCATAGCAATAGCTCACAAAATAACCCACAAGCTCACTACTCACAGAAATCGACAACATAGAAAAGAGATGTAGCTTTTAATCCAATTAATCATTGCAGGCTGCATAGCAAAGGCAGCCAGAATAGCAAGAATAAAATCCCACTTCAGAGTAGGGTTCTCTATACTAAATTATGTTTGATTATTTATTTATTTATTTATTTTGGGGAACAATTATGTTTGATTTATTGATTGGTAATCTCTATGTTCTCCGCCCTTCACTACCGTCGTATCAAAACAAAATTGGGACAAAAAATAAAAAGGACCAGAATGGAAACCCACAAAAGTTAGGGGTAAACATGAAATTAACCCAAAAGAATATGCCGATTGCGAATCTGGCTGGAGTACCAAAAAACCAAACATTCCTCGGGAAACAAATAGAAATTTTTTGTTCTTCCTCGTCTTTCATTTCGTCGCTCGCCTACCTTTGATTTCCATACAAGAATACGAAAACCAGCCTCCAAATTGCATCGAGAACCCTCTGAAGCCTCCGATATTCCAATCCGTTGTCGCTCTACATAGCCTACGAGGTCATCTTTTACACTCTAAATTTTCATCCCTTTTTTTCCTCAAATTATTGAGCTCAAATATTGCATATATCATGTCAGTTAGCAGAAATTTTAGTGTTTATATAATAATATCTATATATATCTATATATATCTATAGTTTACTTTTCAGCAATTTTTGCTTTTCTAAATAATTTTGAGTTTTGGTAACTTGCCTTCCTTTCGTATTGATTTTTGTTAGAATTATTCCATGTAATTTAAGAACTCATGCAAAAATCCTTATATGGAGGGGGGAAATTTTTGGTTTTCGGTTTCGGTCAATGGAATTTAGACAGTGAGAATTACTTTCGGACTGAAATTTAACATGTGGGTTCATTTGATTTTTCGAAGTTTAGCGTTCCCGTGGGGCTGATGAGATTCAAGGTAGAGGGTGGTGTTTCCCAAAAGGAAAACCCGCCAAAGATTAGCCACGGTTTTAGGTTTAGAGTAACATGAAGGCTTGTGAAGAAACCAATGTGTGAGCACAAGACTGAAGGGTTAAATAGAATGTGAATGGAATGGATTGCCCTACACTTTTCAGTGATCATGTTACTATAGTTGATTCAGTCACGAGTTTGGTAAACTACCATGTTTCCCGTTTAATATTTTCTCTATTATGTGGTAGTTCATGCATCAAGAATTTACTAATGTTTGAGCGATTACTTGATGTTATTTCATTTTGGAAGTGTTCTTGTGTTTAGCTTTGAATTTGATGATATGTTTTCATGTTTCAGGGCTTGCTAGAATCTGTGACTAGCATAAGCTGGTTCTGGGCTTGCAACGTTGTGAAAGACTAGTTGATCACTTTATCCATATCAATTGAATTTTGAAGGTGGCTTTGAGTTTTGTTATGATCTGACCTTCTAATTTCAACCCAATAATGGTTCTTGCTGGTTCATTGCAATTGTCCCATGGATTGGGACTTTGCAAGAATCAGAGGTACAGAGAACAATTTAAGGTACTATGAAGCTTTATCGTTTTAATTCCTATTTCAATATTATTGCGAGAGTGTTTTCAATCCTAAAGTAATTTTATTCTTTGCAGTGTGGAATAGAAAGGGACAAGTTACATTCCTTAAACACCGGCCTTACATCAAGATTTGTGGTATGAGTTCATAATTGTTCCATTTTCTTTCCCATTGAGAAGATGGATATTTAGATTTTTTATGTAGTAAAAATATTGCTGAGTTACTTTTCTGGATTATTGTAGATGGTACATATAGGGAATTGTTCTCTTACTATACTGTCTGGCAACACAACAGATTATGAATTTTACCATTAATTAGGTGGATTCTTGATGTAGCTGTGGTCTAGATTCACAATCACAGTATGGCAACGTAAGGTTGGCAAGGGAACATTACCCTATGTGTGTTTAGTTTAAGCATACATTTTAAGCACAAAAGAAGTTTCATCTACTAAAGAAGTTTCATCTACTAAGTACTTCCCTTTCATCACATTATTATATTTCGTGCCTTATCTCTTTAGAGTGTAGGCTCCAGCCGTCCACCCTAAAATTAAATCTCATGATCAAGCGCTTACGATAACGCTGCGCAAGTCTGTTGGCAAACAATGCACGCAGAAAGAAAATAAAGTCCAAGGCATGTTTAGTATTGCTAGTGCTCATTTTATGCTGCCCCCACCCCGCCCCTCCCCCTCTCCCTCTTTCCCCCACCGGCATTAAATTGGAAATGGGTTGGGCCTATTAGTGACAGAGATTGTGATACTATTTAGTGATGCTCTCTTCTTTAGAAATTTAGTAACTTTCAGGAAAAATCTTGAGATCATCTCTTCTTTACAGTTTCAGAAGCAGGATTCTTGGAGTATGAGTTTGTCAGACAATGTATACAGGCCCTTACATACTGTATCTCACAGATATCAAGCATTTAAGTGCCATTCCGTGCTAACATCAGGCCAACATGGCTTGAAGACAGCTGCGATGGCGTTGACAAGGTTTTTTCTTTTAAGTGTGTTATAAACATGTCATATGCATTCCTTATAGTTATGGTTTCTTAATTTTATTATTCTATGATAACACATGTAACTATAGTTTTGTGCATTATAATAAAAGTACCCATACTTCTTACCATTTCTGATCTTTCAATCTTACAGTGACTTATGCATGACTACACTTTGTTGCTTTACTCTATACTTTCCTTTCAATCTTTTGTCCTATTTATTTTTATTCTTTTAGTTTTGTGTTAAAAACAGTGTTTGACAAATTTTACTTGATTTTTAACCTAAGCAAACATATTACCTTTTTACCAATATATGAGCATGGCATCATTTTACTTTGGAAATCAATGTCCATACTCCTTTCCCCTGATCAACCTGGATGAGTTTTTAGAACAGTATTTTGATGTATTATGTCATTAGTATACTTTGACTCTTCCTACGTATAGGCACCAGGTGGGCTGCTCAAAATGCTATTTCGATCTCTAGGGGTGATGGTAGTTTACAATAGAACTACTTAGATATGAATACTAAAGTCTAACAAGTACATCGAGTTTGGAAATCTTGGTGCTTTTGCTTGCTTTGTAATTTTTCGTATTCTCAGTGACTTGGATTTTCCAAGTCTCCAACCGAGAAGTTTTCCTCACTCGGGAAATTAAGGGAACACTACCCCAACCTACATGCTCCACTCAGAAAGCTTCAACATACAAGCTTGAACAAAAGAAAATTCAAAGAACTTAGCGAAGAAGGCTTTGGTGTATTTAACACAATACGTTGAAATGAAGGAAAGCTTATTTATTGATATCCCCGATAAGCTACAAATATGTACATATACATGAGTCAAAATAAGCACACAAGAGGGAGCCTTCACAAAGGTTGCTTAGGAGAAGTCTCAGCAGTCGGTAGAGCCCCAGAAAGAGAAGGCACCGGAGGGGGATCATTTGGAGCCTCAGTACTGGACAGAACCCTAGAAGGAGGAGGCATCAGAGGTTGATCATTTGGAGCTTCATTACGCGGTACAGCCCCAGAAGACGAAGGCAATAAATGCCTTTGGAACAAACCCACAAATCTCTGATGATCAAGTAAAACCTGACCATCAGTTTCCTTCATCTGGTCAAGCTTCCTCTTCATGTTTGTAGCATAGTCATGTGCGAGCCGGTGCAACTGTTTATTCTCATGCTTGAGCCCTCTAATCTCCTGTTTGAGACTCATCACTTCAGCCGCCAATGATTCAACTTGGCGGGTTCGAGCAAATAGGCGTTGGGCCATATTAGACACAGAACCTGCACACTGAACACTGAGAGCCAGCGAATCCTTAACAGCTAACTCATCAGACCGTTTGGAAAGTAGTCTGTTATCTTTGGGAGTGAGAAGGTTCCTGGCCACCACCGCAGCGGTCATATCATTCTTCATCACGGAATCCCCAACGGTAAGAGGACCAGTAGGGGAGACGAAGGATGGGCGCCATATGTTGTCTGGAGAAGGCGGGGCTGCCTCTTCAACAAGGTTCAAGTCAAAACGACGGTCGGAGGGGCCAGACATTTTCAAAGGTGTTGAAGAGAGAAGAGGTCGGACAAATCAAGATCTTAGAAGTGCAAGAATGAAGCTTCTACTGGTGGAGATTCAAGTGTGCTTTGGAACTTAATGCCAGCCCCTATAAAAATCTGCACTCGACGAAGCTTCAGAAATCGAAGAGGCGCCTGCTCAGAAATCGAAGAGGCGTTTGCTTTCTCAAAAGCTGGGCTGCCTAGAGATCACGAGGGTTGATCTCAGAAATCGAAGAGGCGTTTGCTTTCTCAAAAGTTGGGCTGCTCAAAGACCACGAAGGCCGATCTCAAAAATCGAAGAGGTGCTCGCTTTCTCAAAAGCTGGGCTCCCCAGAGACCACGAGGGCCGATCTCAGAAATCGAAGAGGCACCTACTTTTCCAGCCTTTTCCAGCCTTGTCAGCACCTGTCACACGCACACTTAGTTTTGCGGAAATTATGGGCATTCTGTCAAAGACTTCTGGGGAAGTAGAAAACACATGAATCTTACTGTTCAATCACCCACTTCCCACACGCAACAATAGCTCATGGGTACCACAGATAACTTTGCCAAAGTTCTCTGCCAAAGTTGACCACGTGAAGCTTGCAGCTCCCACTACATCGCTCTGACCAAGAAGGGTAAAAGAATAGCAAAGAAACAGCACTAACAAAGTTTAGACCCATAAATTTTTGAAGGTCTAGCTACCATATTATTACCCACAAGGGTAAAGGAACAGTACCACTGCTGGATAATTGGAAAGTCCCTGTGTGTCAACCTCTGTGCTTCGTGGCAAGGTAGACTAGCAAACATGCCCAACCTTTACTCACATTCGAGAAAACACTCCCAATAAGATTGCTTGCTCCAAAATCGAAGAGGCACCGTCCTCCGAATCTCAAGAGCCAGACTCCCAACATGACTACTTTCTTAAAAATCGAAGAGAGGGTAAAGGAACAGTACCATTGCTGGATAATTGGAAAGTCCCTGTGTGTCAACCTCTGTGCTTCGTGGCAAGGTAGACTAGCAAACATGCCCAACCTTTACTCACATTCGAGAAAACACTCCCAACAAGATTGCTTGCTCCAAAATCGAAGAGGCACCGCCCTCCGAATCTCGAGAGCCAGACTCCCAACATGATTACTTTCTCAAAAATCGAAGAGAGACACTGCTCCCCGAATCTCGAGAGCCAGACCCCCAGCATGATTGCTTTCTCAAAAATCGATGAGGCATCGTTCTCCGAATCAATCGAAGAGGCGCTCGCTTTCTCAAAAGCTGGGCTGCTCAGAGACCACGAGGGCCGATCTCAGAAATCGAAGAGGCACCTACTTTTCTAGCCTTGTCAGCACCTGTCACACACGCACACTCAGCTTTGCAGAAATTATGGGCATTCTGTCGAAGACTTCGGGTGAAGTAGAAAGCACATGAATCTTACTGTTCAATCACCCACTTCCCACACGCAACAATAGCTCATGGGTACCACAAATAACTTTGCCAAAGTTCTCTGCCAAAGTTGAGCACGTGAAGCTTGCAGCTCCCACTACATCGCTCTGACCAAGAAAGGTAAAAGAATAGCAAAGAAACAGCACTAACAAAAGTTTAGACACATAAATTTTGAAGGTCTAGCTACCATATTATTACCCACAACTGTAAAGGAACAGTACCACTGCTGGATAATTGGAAAGTCCCTGTGTGTCAACCTCTGTGCTTCGTGGCAAGGTAGACTAGCAAACATGCCCAACCTTTACTCACATTCGAGAAAACACTCCCAATAAGATTGCTTGCTCCAAAATCGAAGAGGCACCGTCCTCCGAATCTCGAGAGCCAGACTCTCAACATGACTACTTTCTCAAAATCGAAGAGAGGGTAAAGGAACAGTACCATTGCTGGATAATTGGAAAGTCCCTATGTGTCAACCTTTGTGCTTCGTGGCAAGGTAGACTAGCAAACATGCCCAACCTTTACTCACATTCGAGACAACACTCCCAACAAGATTGCTTGCTCCAAAATCGAAGAGGCACCGCCCTCCGAATCTCGAGAGCCAGACTCCCAACATGATTACTTCCTCAAAAATCGAAGAGACACTGCTTTCCGAATCTCGAGAGTCATACCCCCAGCATGATTGCTTTCTCAAAAATCGAAGAGGCATCGTTCTCCGAATCTCAAGAGCCAGATACCACAGACCACTTTTTCAAAGTGCTCTGACAGAGTTAAAACATGTGAAACTGGCAGCTCCCACTACCGTGCTATGACCAAGCAGGGTAAAGGAATAGCATTACTACTTGTTGTTAGGGAGACTCCTATATATGTCGACCTCCATCCCCAACGGACAGGCAGACCTGCAAAAATGCTCAACCCTTCATCATATCTGAGAGGGCACTCCCAACGAAGCCTTTCGAAATATTCAACTTTCTTTCCCCCCGATAATACCTCTGCAAACAAGCTATACTAGAGCAAGAATATCTCATATCATCAGGGTTAAAAGCAAGAGTATCCCATATCATGCTTTTTCCCTGTCTTTTCTTTTGGCCTTGTTTTTACCTGCAAGACAAGGAGAAAGAGAGCAATCAGTCAGCACTTGGAATCAAGCTTCCAGCCAGGAACTGACTGCCTGGAATGATTACTTACCTGGCATTGCTCTCGAGTACTCATCTTCAACATCTTATGTTTCTAGGGAAGATTCCGCATCTGCTTGAGGAACAGATAGGGCAAGTGCGAAGGATACAAGGAAGCATGTGGAGACAAGCGTAACAGCACACGTGCCGATACATTCATTACTCTGTCAAAAGCAAAAGTATCCCATATCAGCAGGGTGGAACGTACTCTAGATTTGATGGACTTGTTTTGACCCTCAAATTCTTCAGTCGGCCTTATACTCTGGAGGAAACCAGAAAACCCTCCAGCTCAGTTCAAGAATAAGCCTGTGGAAAGTTACTTCTTCAAAAGCAAAAGTATCTCATATCATCTCTTCTCATTTTTCTTCTCTTTATCCTTCATGCTGCTGCAAGATGGGGAGAAGGTGAACAATCAGTCGGAGCTCTGATTGCTTACCTTGTCTGTCACCTCTTTCAGCAGACCCCCTAGCTCGGCGACTTGGGGGACTCCTACTACATGGTTTGTATCGCGCTTGACCAAGCCTGAAACTACAAGTAAGCTTCAAGTGAAATTGATACATTACCTTGTGCATCTCCACCAGTTAAAGATACCACCCCTGGATGGAGGAAGAGTACTTCCAGAGAAGATGCCACATCTACCTATGAGACAGATAAGGCAAGTCAAGACGACACCACACTCCGATACTTAGAAGTTTCGTGATTACGAGATCATTCTCCCACAATATTTCCTAATGTCATTTGTACTAAATCATTCACTTGTACTCACTAAATGAGAGCTTGAACCTATGTACTTGTGTAAACCCTTCACAATTAATGAGAACTCTTCTATTCCGTGGACGTAGCCAATCTGGGTGAACCACGTACATCTTGTGTTTGCTTTCCTATCTCTATCCATTTATATACTTATCCACACTAATGACCGGAGCAATCTAGCGAAGATCACAAAAAGCGATCGTTTTCGCTACCTAGGATCTATCTTGCAAGAGAACGGAGAATTAGATGGAGATCTCAACCATAGAATACGAGCTGGATGGAAAGAGTGCATCCGGCGTGTTGTGCGACCGTCGTAGGCCACTGAAGCTCAAGGGAAAATTTTATAGGACGGCAATAAGGCTAGCGATGTTGTATGGCACAGAATGTTGGGTGATGAAGCATCAACACGTACACAAAATGGGTGTAGCGGAGATGAGGGTGCTTCGTGGGATGTGTGGGCACACGAGAAAGGATAAGATTGGGAATGAGGATATCCGAGGTAAAGTAGGAGTAGCCGAAATTGTAGGAAATATGAGAGAAAATCGGCTCCGGTGATTTTGAACATGTGCAAAGAAGGCCGACTGACGCTCCGGTTCGAAGATGTGACTACGGGACAGAGGTTCAGGGCCGAAGGGGTAGAGGAAGACCTAGGACAACTTTGGAAGAGACTCTAAGAAAAGACTTAGAGTACTTGGATCTAACGGAGGACATGACACAAAACCGAGCGCAATGGCGTTCTAGGATTCATATAGCCGACCCCACTTAGTGGGAAAAGGCTTTGTTGTTGTTGTTGTTGCTTGTCTGTTCAGCTGGTGATTTTGTCTGGGTTTTTATGTTTCTATCAGTTTATGATGTCAAATGCTGTTATCTTAAGTACTCTATATTTCGGATTTGTATAATCTTCTTTCCTAAAATTTATAAAGAGTTATTCATATTATTATGCAGATCATATAATGCTTTGCAAGGTTGTCCTCTTGTATTCAAATTGGTTCCATCAGTTGGCCTCATTATTTTTTCCGTATGGGGTCTTCCACCACTTATGCGCCTGATCAGAAATCTGGTCCTTCAAGTATGCTTATCTTCTTATGTGTTCTTGGTTTATTTTGTATAATACAGTATTTTGCCTGTGCTTCTGAATTGGACAGACACTTGATGATGTTATCTAAAACCTTTCATGCTGTCCTGCAGAAGAGTGATAGTAGTTGGAAAAAGAGCAATACGCATTACGTGACAACCTCATATATTCAACCTTTGCTGCTTTGGACAGGAGCAATTCTCATTTGCAGGTGTCTCGATGTTGTATTTTTATGAATAATTATAATTTTATGTCATATCTTTTTCACGGTGAGTGTTACAAAAGATCCAAACCCCTACCCTCCCTTAAGCAAAATTTGCAGTCAGAAAAATTCGAAAACTACAAGCTCTGAAGAAGATAAGGAAGGAATATTGTCTCAAACGGATGTCAATAGTGGATTTGGACCTTAGAGTCTTTAAAGAGAACACTCAACACCCTCAAAAGTTTGACTATCATTTTCCCTTCGTCTATGTGATCAGCACCGTGAGGTGCAACAACCCATTCTACTTTCCCACCAACCAAGTTTCTCCTTCCAGCACCACACCTCCAAAACTGCAGTAAGGCATTAGTGTCTCTATCCCAGAAAGAGAAAACACAGGTGACTAAGGGACGGGGACGGAGATAGAAAATTTCATAAGTGAAGGCAACCTTAACATCTAGTTTTACTTTAGAAGATTCAACATAATACGGTATCTTCTATACTAATTTCATGGCTAATTTTTAACACAACTTGGAGTGATTGAATTTTCATACATATGAATTGAGTTGCATCTCTCTTTCTACTTGATGTCAAGGAGGGAGGAGGGATGAAGAAGAGTGGAGGAAGGTGCAAGAAATGCATACAGAATGGTACATAAAATGAAAACTAAAAACCTATTTGAAGTATTTTCTTCTTCTTTTGAACTTTCGTTTCATGTGTTCTTTATTTCTCCCTCCTCCCTCCCACCACCCTCTTCATCCTCCATTCCCCCATATATTTTCCTCATCTTGAGAAATAAAATAATAACTGAAGTAAACATGAGAAAAGGTACCAAACAGGCCCAAAAGTTCCGTCGTAACGTAACACTAGAGAAATAGTTGTGAAATTTTAATGTGAAGCCTGTATTGATCATAGTGGCTTTCTTGTAGGGCATTGGATCCAGTCGTTCTATCTACAGAAGCTAGCCAGGCTGTTAAGAAACGGCTTTTGGATTTTATAAGATCATTGTCAACTGTTCTGGCATTTGCCTATTGTTTATCAAGGTCAGCCTTTTTTGTGGTTTAGTCTTCTTGCTTGATTATGTTATATGCAAACTTTAATATATTTACTTGGCCTTTTTATTTCTTGATGTTTCATTGGACCAATCAACAAGAAGGCTTCGCTGATATATTTGTGCTGTACTGATTTGTTCTTTTCAATGCAATTGACAATCTATAAGTTGTAACGCTTATTGACCTCCTTGATAACTAATTGTAATATATTCATGCAGTGCGATTCAACAAGCACAGAAATTTTTTATGGAGAGTAGTGACTCCAGTACTACAAGAAATGTATGTGTTGCGTGCCATAATTGTTCCTTAGATATATTTAATCTCACTCTGTGTGAAGAATTGTAGTTGTTTTCACAAAGAATGAGAGCTCTTTTTCTTTTTTTCTTTTTTTTTGGCAGATGGGTTTTCAATTTGCCGGGAAGGCTGTTTACTCTGCAGTATGGGTTGCTGCTGTTTCGTTATTCATGGAGTTGCTAGGTTTCTCTACCCAAAGGTGGCTTACTGCAGGAGGTCTTGGGACAGTACTATTGACTCTGGCTGGTCGTGAGGTGAAATCCTGAAATTCTTTACCAATTTTTCTTATTTTCCTTTAAATATCCACGCTTGTTTAATTTTTGACCTATTATTTTTAAATCTAGATCTTCACCAATTTCCTGTCAAGTGTAATGATTCATGCGACTCGCCCTTTTGTTGCAAATGAATGGATTCAAACAAAAATTGAAGGCTATGATGTATCTGGAACTGTTGAGGTTTGTATTAGAGTTTTGAAAATTCATGCACTCGGATAAAGTGACAACAGGAGTAAGACTAAAGATAGATAGTATGCATTCTTTCATGGTAAATTATACTTATTTATAACTGAAAACTATGCAGTTATATGAAAACACATTGGTTTGCTGAAATATTTTTTACTTACTGAGTAATCTGTGCTTGTATTGTTGCTTGCAGCATGTGGGTTGGTGGTCACCGACAATTATAAGAGGTGAAGATCGTGAAGCAGTTCACATTCCAAACCACCAGTTCACAGTGAATGTTGTGAGAAATCTCAGTCAAAAAACTCATTGGCGTATCAAAACTCACCTTGCCATCAGCCATTTGGATGTCCATAAGATAAATGTAAGGAGTGACTCCAGTTGCTGAATTTTGGTCGTCTCCTCTTATGGTTCAATGGCTGCTGTGGTTTTCAGAACAATGATGTAATTGCATTCACACTTAGTGTGTTAATTGCCCTTATCTTTGTGCAGAATATTGTTGCAGACATGCGCAAAGTCTTGTCCAAGAACCCTCAAGTTGAGCAGCAGAGGTTGCATAGAAGAGTATTTCTGGATAATGTTACCCCTGAAAACCAAGCTCTTTTGGTTAGTATTCACATTTTTACGTTCTTACTTATTTTGTAAATCCACATTGTTTAGTTGCGAGTTATGTATTGATTCTGTTTTTCAAGTTAATTTCTCATTTATGTGGGAAGGAGCTCTGCAATATATAATTTCCGTTTTAGATCATTTTGAGCTTTGAAGTTACGATACAACCTCTTTATTCTGAAGTAAATTGACAAAAAGTTGGTGAAATTAAAAAACCAAGTAGCACCTTAGTCTTAAATCAGTAGATATGCTGTTATGTTGGATAACTTTCCTTTTTTCACTTAAGAGAGAGATGCAAGGAAGGAGTGAGGGAGGATAACAGAAGTCTGGCAATAACTTTTGTTGTTTTACTTAGGTTAGAAGGAGGGAGGGAGAGAGATGTGAGGAAGTGGGGGAGAATACATAAACCTGCAAATAGACCTGTCAATGGATCAGATTTTGACCCATACCCGAATGGAATCCAATGTAATTAATAGGATATGGATCACAACATCCAATCTGATTATCCGGATAAGATATGAATCTGATAATTCGATTATAATGGATATGGATATGGGTCGAGGTGGATCCAATCCAATAATGATCCGATTCAACTTAATATAACGTATTATTTGATTTTTATATTATTTATACTTTTGTATAATGGTAGTTTAAGTTGTTTATGCAATAAAAATACACTTATATTCTATTTTCTTATTATTCAACATGAAACTTTAAATGAAAAATAGAAAAATATAATAAAAGATGGAGGTTACTAATGATATTTTTATCTTTTCTATGTCTTAAATTAAATCCGATAAGGATCCGATCCTATGCTAATCGGATCTGGATTGACAAGTCAAATCAAATGATCCAAATAGGATCCGGATCCATTAATCCAATTATGAATGGATCCGGATATGGATCAAGGCTGATCCGATCCGAATCCAACCCGTTTACAGGTCTACCTGAAAATAAAATAAAAATTATTTAAAAGTTTGTCTATAGTTTTTAGGGAGTTGTTACTATTGCCATTAAAAAAAATAGTTACCCTGCAGTCCTGTTTTGTTTTGTATTGTTTAAAATAACGGCTCCTTGTGAAATGAGACTAAAAAGGTAAAAGGTAAAAGGTCGTACCCAGTGCACAGCATCCAAATAAGGTGTTACCAAACAGATAACAAGTAATTGTTTAATTCAAAATGCTTAAATATGTATGCGTAAATGTTCTTACACTGAACAATGAGCATGTGTTCATAGTCTCAACAACAGAAGTATATGTTGAATGTGTTTTTCTTGACAATTGTATGTGTTTTATCTTTTGACAATTATATGTTTAATATGTATATTTTTTGCGTGTTGCAGATCTTGATTTCCTGTTTTGTGAAGACGTCACATTATGAAGAGTATCTGTGCGTTAAGGTAAGGACATTTTAATTCAGAAAATAATTGTTCTACCTTCCAATTAGCTGACCTCAATTTACCATAATCAAGGCTTAATTACAATATGCTAACTTTGAAGGAAAGATAACAATTTCTTAGCCACTTACTCAAATTAGAAGCCCTTTTTCCTTGCATGTTTCACCCCAAACCTTGCATGCACCAAAAACCTCATACCCGAGATACATTTAGTTTATAAGGATATGGATACAAATGTAGTTTGCAAAGTATGATTGAAATGCATGCTGTTACAGGATGATCACTTCAGAGAGTTTAATTTTTTTTCTATTCTTTATTCTGGGCCTTGTGCTTTTATATTGATTATATAGATGTACTAGAAGTGTTTAGTGTTACGTCACATGATCTGTGTCCCCCAATCCTGACCCTATCTGTGTGCACGCTCACTCGTGGGTGTGGGTGTGTGCACGCGCGTCTCTCTGTCTGGGTGTGTGCGTCTCTGTGTGTGTGTATGTGTGTGTGTGTGTTAAAACATCTTTAACTACATTAACCCCCACTACATAATGATTATACTATGATCTATACTCATACCACCGCCCCTCAACTAGGAGCATAAATAACTGCCATGTCAAATATTTTTAAATCAGAAGGAATTTCTTTTCCCTAAATCCCTGGTAAAGACATCTCCCCACTTTTCATAGACTTAAGTTTTTCTTTGTATTCCTGTCTCTCACGAAATAACAATCCATGCTGATATGTTTCATCCTCTCATGAAATTGCAAATTACTGGTAGTCCATAGCCTCACAATCCATTTCTTACAAAATATAATCCATGTTGATGTCTCGTCCTCTCGTGAAATATCAAAGTACTTATAGATGCATATAGACTTTATTATCCTGAAACATTCTCATGGAGTACTGTCACACGCACGTCTTTCTTGTTAAAAAAAGGTTTCACCCACAAATTCTCACATGTCGTGTGAGCCATAGCTCTGATGATCTCACAGCCACAGTTTTCTTCTTAATTTAGGCCAAGTGAGATCTTCTGCACAGTCAGCATCTGAATGGCTAACAACATCTGGGTCTCACACCTCGTCAAATTTGACGTTAGGATTAATAGAAGTATCCATTGGCTTAGCTCCCAAACACTCCTGTTTCATTTAATAGATCAAAATTCGAACCCCGAAGCTATCAAAGAGGTCAGGCACTGTGCTGCAATGCACAGTTGGAGCATTTCACATGCACCGGAGGGATTAGTCCTTGGGCCTACGAAGCCTTTGGGATACACTTGACTTAGTCAAAAAACAAAAAAAAAAAAAAAATAGTTCTCTAGTGAACCAATTCCTTCATCCGAAAATTGTATTAGATAGGATTTTAAGTTTGTTGATGAATTTGCCATGTGATGATGCCGCTGGTGCACTAAGCCTCATAATAGAGTTATGGAGATCACGACTTGAAATACTGATAACATAACTGAATAAGTGTCCTTTTTCTTCTAAGATCCTGGAAGCTCAGAAAGTAGCACAGAAGATGTCAAAACAATTTAAGGGTTTTATCAATTTACTTACAGATACAAGATAACAAACTGGTTGACTTCATTGTGCCACCACCAATGACGACACAAAAATGGCAGACAATGTTCTTGCCATACTGTGATTCTGGACTATTATAACCAGATTCGTTCTTGCCTGAATGTTTGTTACATAATAATCTGCCATCATGATTTCTGTTTCCTTGATATATTGAAGGTTATGCTCATTTGAAGTGTACTGAATGTTTGACTAAACAGGAAGCTATAATGTTGGATCTTCTTAGAGTCATTAGCCATCACAAGGCCCGACTTGCCACACCAATTCGTACGGTTCAGAAAATGTATAGTGATCCCGATTTGGACAGTGTGCCATTTGCAGATTCAATGTATAACCATGCTGGAGCAAGATCCAGACGCCCATTCATACTGATTGAACCCTCATACAAAATCAATGGAGAAGATAAAAAAAGGAGTCGTACGCAAACCAGTGGAGAGCGAGATGGGAAGGCCACAATGCGGCCATCTCCTGACTCCAAGGCCAGAGAAACACCAACTTCTGACACCAAGTCAGATTCTAAAGCCGGAGCAACATCAGTATCTGACTCCAAGACCAGAGAAACACCAACATCTGATACCACAGCAGGTGCCAAGAGTGGAGAAACGCCAAATTCAAACACAAAGGAGGACCCGAAGGGTGCAAAATCATCTACATCTAATCCCAAAGTTAGTGACAAAGAAACAGTGAAGTCAACACTTAATTCGGTCTCCAAGTCAAATTCTAGAGACACTGAAAAGTCTGATTCTGACTCCAGAGCAACGGGCATAGCATCTAATAATTCGGTGCAGAACTCTGACAGAAAGCAACAAAAGACTGCAAGTGGATCAACGACTTCTCCAGTGAAACAGGAAGGTGAAAGGACGCCTGTTCCCGAGCCACCAATATCAAGGCCTGCTATAGAAGAAAACATAGTGCTTGGTGTTGCTTTAGAGGGCTCAAAGAGAACCCTTCCGATTGAGGAGGCGATGGCTTCCCCTTCGGCTCATGCAGAGGCAAACGATTTGGCTCCTTCCCACAATGGAACTGCATCTCCTATTAAGGGTAAGAAAAATGATCAGGTTCCGGCTGCACCAGGGTCAACATCTGGAAATGATTGAGTTTAGGAAGATCGAGGGAGTCGTAGCTTTTGCGCCATGCAATTCCCTAGTCTCTTTTAGAACAGGGCACTGTACATTGTCGTTTACACACACTAGTTTTCGTTACTCTTGCAAACAGGGTATGCCATTTTGCGGCGGGCTGATTGGATTTCATTCTGCTTCAATAAAGTATGCTACGATCAGTCACTCATGCGTGCATTTGATGATTTTGACCATATTACAAGACCCACCCACTTGATAAATGTTAGCAATCACACACACGTGCACAACAGATCACAGCAAAATCCTCCACACTTGTGGAGCGATGTAGTTGCTGGAAATGGTGTAGCAGTAGAGGATGGCCGGGGACTTCTGCAACTTGGCATGTTCTTATTGGACTGGATAAAATGATTGCTTGCGTATACATTACATGTAAGTCGGAACCAGAACAAACACATTTGTTTCTTTGTAAGGGTATTGCCTAAAGGTCAATTACATCCGAACCCGTCAACAAATATTACAAGTTTACAACTCCACTTCTACGTTATTCTTCCACCTATCACACCCTTTGCATCCTATCGAAAAATATCAGCTATGTAGTTTTACGAGCAACGGAAATCGGCATTGTTCTTTATTTACCAATAATGAGATGTCGAACTCGAACTCCCTTTAGCCTCCTCCGCTATCACAGTAAACTCATCCCTCGCACATGCAGTCGGGAGCAGGATAGGTGTATATGGACTGCTTAGGCTTTCTGATCCTGATTTGCCCTTGCCTGTTTTCGTGCCCTTTTACTACCGACTGCTGGAATTCCGACCAGCTAAGGGTTTTGTTTAGGAAGAGCTGGCCCAGTAGTGACATACTTGGCCTGATGGTCTTCAAGTTCTCGTAAGTTCGGTGCCCTACCTGTTGACATAATTTTTTTAGTCAGCATCTTATGAGTTGTAGAGCATTATCAAATGGAGAGGATGTGAAAACAAATATACGGTGCTCCCAATTGCTGTGAAAATCTCGTGCCTTCGTGTAAGGATGGGTGCTCAAAGACATTATGCGGGTGTGAGACAAACCTCACGAGTTGAAAGTACCGAACATGGTAATGAGAATACATGATCTCGTAGAATTGATAAAAAGATATTTACAAGTCTTACCAGTGCATTGTGCATGTTTCCTGGAGAAGCAGAAACGAAGATGTCACTGTGCATGCTAACGTAGTAATCAACCGCTGCTAACAGAGAAGCCTTTCCTTTGATTTGGGCCCGTTCTTCTGAAGAAGCAAGGCTCTTTTTATCTTCCATGAGTGGAAACAATTTTCGCAAAGTTGCAATCCTAGCTTCCCCACCGTATACCTGAAGAAAACAAAACGAAATTGACTTTCCTAATTGAAATTTGCCAATTCACTCGGATAAGACAAGAGTTGGACAGAAGGAAAACTAAGAACCTTATGGGAAGCAAGATAGAGGCGAGTATTGTTGTCAAATCCCAAAGCTGCAAGCAGCAATCCAATCTCTTCAGGAGTTAATGGACAACGCCCCTGACTCCTCAACTCTTCGTCAGTGAACTGGGAGTTAAGGACCCTTCCCTGCCAGATCACTTGTCGATATTTGGCCAGAGCCAGTTTTTCAGCTTTTCCACCACCAAAATCACAGGCCGAATGGGCTGCCATATCCTGCAGAATGAAAATAAACAGAACATATTTTTCATATTTTTCAATAGTTACAAATAAAGTTTAAGTTAGGGAGTGACATATAATGTGTTACAATCCGTCCATTGTTTCCGTCCCCCAGAACATAAAACACTCAAGTCAGACATCACTAGTTTACATAAAGCAGTTCCTCATACAGGTTATGCCAAAATTTCTCTGTATGCTCCAGAACTTTTGCGGAAAAATAAATCAGACAAATCAAATGGATGTATATCAAATTTTATGAATATCATTACCTTATCAAACCGTAAATGTAGCACAACAAATTTCCCTGCCCCTTGCTTTTCTTTCACATCTGGCATCTCCTGCAAGTAGTTGGTACCAACTACCCCACTTTTGGTAGAAGGATATCTAAGGCGGCTGATCAGAGCATCTCCAAGAGCTCTAATATGAGGGACAAACACTAATGCTTGAAAGTTGACCTTACAGCGTAGCCGTTGGATGTCCATAGGCAAGTTGTCAAATGTCAGGCGGTGGGAGAAAGGGGCAATCGCTGCTATTCCATAACTGAACCACATACAATTCAGCATATACGAAATCTAAGATATGAAGCCATAATTTTTCATTGACTTCAATAGCTACTAAGGTCTGAAAATTATACAACAAGAACACTATAATTTCAGTCAACAAGTTCAGGTGATACTGACCTCTGAACTACGGGCAATACATTCTCTAGATACCAGTGGGCTGAAGCATGGACAGGTGCTGTCTTAACTCTCGTAGCTCGGATTGCTGTTGCATAGTACTCCCTCGTGCTCCACGAGAAATCAGAAGGTAGCTCTTTAACTATTCTAATATCATCCTTCAATACATTAATGAAATGATCAACGTCAAATATATCCATGAAAGAGCTGCAAAGGAAGGAAAAGAACCAATCAGAATTCAAGAGATCAAGAACATGAATAACCAGTGCAAAGATAAAATCAACGTTTCTTCTACAAATACCTCGAATCTCGCCATACAGGATTTACTTCAAGGTACGGGATCACAAGGGTTGCATTCAGTATTCTAGCAACTGCTACTGCATCACATATCTACAAATAAAATAATTTAAGGACTAGCCAGGTAGTTATACAACTTTGAAACAGATCTATATTAGATGCATCAGAAACTTTTAAGACCTACCCCCATCCTCTGCTGGTTCAGCCCTCCATCAAGAAACACTTGGATGAATCCCTCAGATTTCTCCGGTAATGCTGCATGAGATAAAAGCATCAATCACCGAAAAAGTAGCACTTGCGAGTATTACATTGTAAAACACATTAGTTCCGCAACCTACAGTAAAACTACTTTAGAGACAGGGATATAGACAAGTAACACTATTTTACTCACAAGGGGCAACTGATGATTCTGCACAAGGTTTCCATGATTCGCTGGCCAATGGAGCCCATAGATCCGATAGTTCCCCTTCTGACTACACAAGGTAAGGATTTTTTTTTTTTCTTTTCAGTCGAGAATTTTATGCAGACAAATCAGTCAACTACTTAAGAAACAAATGTGCTTCTTCTTAACCAACTCTTACTCACAGTTTGGCGTTGTAAAGCACTCATGAGAAGGCGTTGGTGCTTAGATTTTGGAACATTCCATTCCTGAAAAGTCGACTTCGTCATCACATTAAGCCCCTAAAAGAAAAGCAGTATTTAAATGTGAATGTGAAGGTCCGTACTACTCTTACAAGTCAAACAATGTGTTCATGATCCCAAGCATACAAAAAAAAAAAAACTCACCTATCCGAAATTTTCTAGCGGATTTTATCAAATTTCAACAACTTTTTTATTCAGCTTAGTGACTAATCCTAAAAGACCGACTCACGCTCTAGCTCTAGTACGTATGCTTTAATTGCTTATGATAATCTTGGATCCTCAGTTTGTCGGTGTTCAAATCAACTAGAAAAATTCCCTCAGTTTGTCGTTGTTCAAATCAACTAGAAAAATTCCAGTAAACAAATCAAAGCAAAAACATGTACGCAATCTGACCCATGCTTTTAAGTTTGGCAAAGAAATCACCATCTTACATTTTACGTTTACAGCATTAGTAAATTGAACAATAACGAAAACCACTACAAAAAGGTCAGAAAATCCACCAGAAAAAAAATAATAAATAAAGCAGGAAACCTCATTAGTCGTTGCCACTACTAGCAGTCAAAACAAGCAGGTAAAAAGTAAGTATAATCCTAGGGAAACAGGTAATTAAAAAGGAGGAAGAAACATACCGAGTACATGGAAGGAGAAGCATGGCCCAATGGACTGAACAAAGTGGGCAAGAAAACTGGAAGGAGAAGCAGCAGAAGAGCACCCAGTGCTCCTCCTCTGGGAGAAAACTGAAGCTCGAACACCATTGTTCCAAAGCTTGGATCCGAAAGCTAAAATCTGGGTTTTGCTCTGCAGTGGAAACTACAGAGACCCAGAAAGAAGAAGGGGGGAATAACGCAGCTATAAATGTAGCGGCTTAGAGAGAGAAAGCAGCCATTATCGTCAGTATATAATAATAAAGAGAGAGAGAGAGAGAGAGAGAGAGTAAAGGCACTTTGAGATGGACACCTGGACTGTGTGCTTTGTATCGATTCTGTGAAGCGTGTCGTTGTCAGAGATAAAGGTAAATTTGTAGGGATTTTGGTACCAAGAAAAAGCAAAGCAAAGCAGAGTGCTTTTGTGTTGTGTAACTGTGTTAATTGAACACGGTTCCGACCGTTGTTTGGTTTTGTAAAGGCGTTTGACGGTGGTTTTATGTATGAAAATAATCCCCGTGAGTTTGATTCATATTATAATTTGTTTATATATTCCGTTGAGTTTGATTTGTAGATATCAAACACTATAAGTTTGATTTATATTATATGAATTAAGAACTGTAGTGATAAGAGTGAGTTTTATATATTAATTGCAGGAGAAATTTATTTTTGGTTAAATTACATAATACCCCTCAGGTTTAAGATCTATTACAATTTCATACAACATCTTTAAACCATTTCACTTTCATACCTTACGTACTATTTTATTTCAAAATAATACATCCGTTAGATTTTCCATCCATTTGTCTGTTAAATGCTGATGTGGCTGCCACATTTGTGCTGATGTGGCTGCCACGTGGCAAAAATAATAATTTTTATACATTAAAAATATTATAATATTAACCCTGTTAAAAAAAAAAACCAAAATAACCCAAACCCAGATCCTCTTCCTTCCCCCTCACCTTTCTGCAACTCCCATTTACAAAAAGCCACAACCACCAACACCTTAATAGAAGCTGCCTCTCTTCTTCGTCATTGACGGGAGGCAAAGGCATACGATTTTTCAAGTTGTTGGCCGTGATTTTCTGGAACACCAATCCCTCCTTCATCGGATTTGACGACGACGTTGTCGCCATCTCAGCCTCCTCTCTTTCTTTCTCTTTTGTGATGCATCCATCTCAGCCTCCCCAAGCAACTTGGTCGCGGTGTTGCTGCAGGCCATGGCGAACAGTTCCACTCGAAAATCCTTCCAATTTTAGCGAGAGTCAAAGAACTCGAGGAGGAATCAAACCTCATAGTTTTGGATG